AAAGTCTGTGTTTGAACGGGTCTACCTACTTCATGTCAAGTAAAAAGCTAATAGGTGTGCCTCCCAGTATGAATTTTACTTACTTCCAGAAGTCTTCCTGTTGGGAACAAAGATCCATATCACAAGTGTATTATGTTTACCGATATTAACTTGCTGAAGCCTATCATATTGGATGAATATTTATGAGTTAAGTAATTTGTTTCAAACTTTCAAGAAGATTCAAACTTAAACAGTCCAAGATGTCCAACAGCTGAAGCAGCAAAAGAGTTAACTCGTGAATAACAAAACCTGCAAGATGCTTTTGTGGCTCAAATTGATCCTGAACTTGATTGCATTTTGGCCATTTTGACTTCAACTCTTTCTCCTCTGAGCTCATTATGCAATTGGAATACAGCATTATAGAATGAATTTTTTGAACACATAAACGAAGTTTAAAAAACTGAAGACATATATAGTTAGTATTTAGACACCTGCTTCTGGGGTGCCTAGCAACCTCTGTGTCACAGGCAAGGTGGCCACACCTGGAAGGCATGGTTAATTTGCTCCTTAAAAGGATCAATCCACTACTTTGTCTCTCTCCTGGCCTCTCTTGCTTTCTTGTCCTCTCCCCTCTCTCTGTCTAGGTGTCCCCTCTCTATTCTATCCATCATGTCTTCCTTTCTCCTCTCTCTCTCTCTTCATACCCATCTAATAAACCTCTTTCATATAAGATCTGTTGTGTGCCTCATCATTACTTAATTGGTCCCAACATATATAGAAAATATTTCTGAACAAATTCTAAAAGAAGAGATATGGCTGAAATTATAGTGCCTATAATAATTACTAATACTGAGATAATGTCATTGTGGGTGATCAATGATGATTGGCAAAGAGTTTGTCGAACTCATTGGGAGAAATTAATAATAAATATCCTAAAAGCAGATGTATTCATTTTATGAAAAGAACTAATTGGATTCTTCCACATATTGTAAAGAGAACAGAAATTCCAGAGGCATCAACATTCTAGACTGATGCAAATAGGATAGTGCTGGCAGGTTATAAGTCAGACAAAAATGTGACCAAAAGTCCATATACCTCAGTTCAAAACTCAGAACTGTATGTAATCTTTATGGAATTATTAGACTTTCCAGAATCTCTTAATATAATTACTGATTATTTATATGCAGAAAGAGTTGTTTTCCATGGAGAGACTGCTGAATTTGTTCCTGATAAACCAGGCTCAGAAATAACTTCATTATTTCTGTGATTACAACAGGTCGTCAGAAGTAGAAACTATACATTCGGTCACATACAGGTGTTCCAGGCACAAGCAAATGAGGAAACTGACCAATTACGAATACGGAATGTTTTAGAAGCCTCTAAATTTCATGAGAAACATCATGTTAATGGGAAATGTTTCAAGAAAAAAAAATTTCTATCACTTGGCAACAAGCTAAAGAAATAGTAATAAAAAAATATGTCCTACATGTTCTCTATATAACCAAATTCTGTTACCTACTGGTAGTAACCTTAAGAGGACCAAACACAAAATGAAATCTGCCAGATGAAAGTTTTTCATTTTGCAAAATTTGGAAAACAAAGGTATATACACCACACCATTGATACATACTCAGGCTTTCAATGGGCAACTGCTTCAAGTTCTGCAAAGGGTGATTGTGCAATTATACACTTATTAGAAATAATGGCAATTAAGGGTATATGTACACAAATTAAGACGGATAATGCTCCCACATATGTAGCCAAAAAGACGAAACCATTCTTTGCATATTACACTATAAAGCACATTACAGGTATTACAATCCTACAGGACAATAGTTGAAGAAAGAACCAATCACACCTTAGAGGAGATGGTTATTAAACAAAAAGGAGGAGTAAAAAAAACACAGGGACACTCTAAATAATGCTTTGTTAATTCTAAATTTTATTAATGTTTGGGAAAAAAAAGGAACAACAGCACGTGAGAGACACTACATTACTAAAAAAAAACACTGAAGATCTAGGTCAACCAATATACTTTAAGGATGTGGTAATAGAATGGAAAACTGCAATAGTTTTGAGATGGGATGTGGTTAGGCTTATGTATCCACAGGGAATGACAATATATGCTTACCAACAAAACTTACATAAATTAGTTCTGACCAGGGAAAACCTCTTATCACCTGAGACATGGGGGTCCTCAGAAAGCAAATAGCCCTAGTGATTCACTCCTGCAAACTTGTTCTGTTTTGTTTTGTTTTACCTCAATTACTGATTTTTCTAAATTTGCATGCAAATCATCTTCAAAAGGGCTAGGCCAAAGGACAGACAACACAGAGACTGGACAGACATCACAAAGACCATGGGACATGGCCTATATCCCAGATTTTCATTGGGTACTCAAAAGATATCTTTGCATATAGGATATTCCCATTCTCAAAAGATGGGGAGGATGTTTTTGGTCATTTGATGTGTTACTTTGCCTAGGTTTGAATTAATGTATATTGATAGAAATTTAAGGTTATTTTGTGAAAATTTAAGGTTATTTTGTATTGTATGTGAATAGAAATTTAAGGTTATTTTGTGTAAATATTGTATATTGATAGAAATTCAGGCAATTTTGTATGACTTTGGAAATGTAAAAGCTATTTTGCTTAATTATTATTTATTTGTAGAAATTTAATGTAGTTTTATTTGACTATTATTTGATATATAGTTCTAGTCTTACGGTTCCCATAATTATAATTATTCTTATTATGTGTAGATTATTAATGTAAAAGGTAAAAATACAACATCTTAAACAGAAATAAGGATATGATGTGGAAGTGTCTTTTTTCTCTGAAGACTCAGTTTTGTCATGTGATGTTTTACTGCAAGTTGGTTATATGATGTTTTGCTATAGGTTGACTGGTAAGAGGGCATGTGATATTTTGCTCTGACCCCTCACATGCAAGGGGTGTGACTTTGGACATCTGAGACCATTTCTGGGAGGATGCTGAGGAGAGGAGATATATATAGGTTCCCACACAGTGAGGCTTCCTTTTTTGGGTTGACATGTCTGCACTGGTATTAATGTTCTGAGACTTGACTTTGAAGAGAGAAATATTCCAAAGAACTTCGCCAGGCAATTCAACTGAGTTTTGCAGCTTTTTCTGATTTCATGTTGCTACTTGGTATTGATCTTTGGATCCGGGTGTTGGTATCCTAATAACTTTATTTTCATAATCCTCTACAGACCCATTGACCCTAATCAGGAGGAAGTAGACAGAAGAGGTCTATAGCCCTTTTCCTGTCTAATCTTCTACTTAGGATGGGGATGGGGATTGGAAGAGAATTAAAGTTGCATAAAAACCCCAAATAAAGTAGGTTTGGTGGAAAATCTAAGCCTACAAATCTGGGTTTGGAATGATTATAGGTCTAGGTGCTGATTTCTGGATGCCTTTGTCGAGTAGTTGTTCTGTTTCATGGTTTCTGTTTCCTCCCTAGATTTTTTAAATATAATTTTTTATTTATTACAATTTATTCACTTTGTATCCCAGCTGTAGCCTCCACCCTCAATCCCTCCCAATCCTTCCTGCTCTCCATCAATCATCTCCTCCCATGCCCCTTCCTAGGTCCACTGATAGGGGAGGACATCCTCCCCTGCCATCTGACCCTCGACTATTAGGTCTCATCAGGACTGTCTTTCAAATTCTTCCTCTGTGGCCAGGTCATGCTGAACCCTGCTCTCTTAGGTAGACATGATCAAAGAGCCAGCCACTGAGTTCATGTCAGAGACAGCCCCTGTCCCGCTTACTAAGTTGCATGGTTGGAGACTGAGCTACACAGGCTATATCTGTGCAGGGGTTTTAAGTTATCTCCATAAATGGAATCTGGTAGGAGTATCAGGCTCAGAAAAGGACACTGGGCACAGAATTTTTGGTTCTGTTGTTTTCTTTGTGGATCTTCAGACACTTCCAGTTCTTTCTATTTCCCCTTTCTTACATAAGATTGCCTGCACTCTGCCCAAAGTTTGTCTATGAGTCTTAGCATCTGCTTTAATACCCTGCCAGGTAGAGTCTTTCAAAGGCTCTCTGTGGTAGGCTCCTGTCTTGTTATTTGTTTTCACTTTTTTTCCAATGTCTGCCCCATTTCCTTTCTGAATGAGGATTGATCATCTTATGATGTAAAGTCAAGTAAGTAAGTAATGAAGGAAAGAAGGAAAAATGAGTTGCAGCAATAGACACTGAGTGATAAGAAAGAGGAGAAAGGGTTTTAATAGGGAGGGGGCACTGTGGAGTCTGCACAAACCTCCACAGCTGAGCAGAGCTGGATGGACTAAACTTGACTTCCCTAAACAAAGAAACCACGAAAACAGACAATGAACTTCAACATTTTTTTTTCATTTTGCATTTTATTTGTAAGGTGTTGTATACAGAAATGTATATGCTCATGGAAACAGAAAAGTCCCTCTGACCCTGTGTATATCCAGTTAATCATGGTTGAAACCTCTCCTGTCTTTGCTGGGAATTGTCAGGGTGTCCTCTGTAAGAGCAACAGGTGCTCTTCCCATTGAAGTTATCACTTCAGTCCTTACAACCTGAGCTTAAAAAAAAAAAAAAAAGTCTGTCCCTTCTAGTATCATTACAGGTTCTTGTTTATTTTTCCGTTTGCTCTGAGAACCCTGTTCATGGGTTCTGCTAAATCCAATCCAGACATGTCTCAGCCCAAAGAATCACTGTTGAGATGCATTTGTTGTAATCAACTAAGTTCAAACTCAGTTTCCAACTCATTTGACAACTATCACATCAGTACAGCAACAAGGTAGATTTGAGGTAGAATAAACCAGAGTCCAGGGCTGTCCAGCTGACTAGCATTCCACCTTCTTCCCAGGGGTTTTAAATCCTGAGCCATGATGCTGTCCTTCCCAAGATTCAATGTAATTGCCGCACTAATACCATAGTCTACCTGGGAGTCGCTGGTAACAATAGTGGCTGCTACTTCAGAAAGACAGGTGTAGGTCAGAAGGAAGCAGTTGCTAAGATCTATCTCTTCAGGAATTTGAGAGGAGGTTCCAGGAAAGGCCTCTGTGCAGAAGCCAGGGCATGGAATGCTTCAGCCAGCAAGTGGGGATGGAAATTCACCATGACCTTCCACCCTGAAGTCTCAGAGTCCTCAGAAGCATGAAGTGTAATGAAATCCAGTGCCTGCATTTTCAGCTGCTCTGCACTGTGCAGGTCAGCCAGGATGAGAGTGTGAGCAGCATTCTCCACGGAGAGGTCCCTGCAGAGGGCATCCTCACACATGACCTTCAAGCACTCCAAGCCATACCTGTCAGCCGCTGCCAGCACACCAGTGGCCATGTTGTGGAGGTTTGGTGCCTTTCCCGTGTAAATGAAGCCCATCATCTCCTTGAAGATTTTGGCTCCAGGTCCTTGATCTCAATGTGGTTCTTTTGCCTCTCTTCCATGTCATGTTGAAACATGACTCTGAAAAATGGAGAGCAAGCTGCTAAGATGGTCTTTTGAGCCCAGAATTCCTGACTGGATACCAAGAGATAGCAGTCTGTGAATCGGGAATTTTCCCACAGTGCTCCCAGCTCATCCATCAAAGTGCAGCTTGGAACCTTGATTGCTGATATCATGTTCTGTCCTGAGGTGCTGCAGGAGTCTTGAACTACATACAGGTCAAACAGAAGGGTCAGGTGGTCCTCAGGGAGAAGGTGTTCTGCCTGGGACAACAGGAAATCTTTAAGGATGAATTTTTTGAATCCCCAGCCTCCACCAGGAACAAACCTAAAGACAATTTGGCTCCATAGTCCTTGGCATTTCTCTCCTTTGGCATTTATGATCCAAAAGTGGAACTTTGCCCAAACAGGGCTTTTTGGACAGCGGAGCAAGAGTAGATGAACTGACATGTAATCTTTGCTATCTTTATCACTCCCAGTGGCGTGTATACTCAAACGCCATTGGAGTTTGTCATTGGCTCCTGATGAGAAAGTTGCACTTTCAATGGCTTCCCTCATTTCCTCCAGGCAAAAGGAAAAGTTGCTTATGGTCCACCTGAAGGAAAATGTCTGGACGGTGATCTGTGTGGAGCCCCATCTCTCAGCTTCCAAGTTGTCAGACATTTCTCCTGGAGGTAGCTTAGAAGTAAACTGGACCAAAAGAAAACAAACAAGCAAACAAACAAACAAAAAATCAAAAAACAAAACAAACACACAATAAGAGGTAGGATTTCTTATGTCTTTACCATGAATAACACAATTATAGATAATTATTAAAGTTATTAAAGTTTAGTTTCAAATTCTGTGAGGTTCCCCTTTCTATGACTTTGGACATTTGTATCTCTCTGAAAATATTTATCTAGACTTGAACAGAGAAGTTCAAGTCAGAGAAGTTAGCAACAGCCACTAGCTAGTGCTAAATTGTGTGTGTGTGTGTGTGTGTATGTGTGTGTGTGTGTGTGTGTGTGTGTGTGTGTGTGTTGTATTTGGACACTTAGGTCAATAATAACTACATTTAGCTTTCATATCCAACTTTTGAAGAGTGGAAAATATTAGAGACTCTCATTTCATTCTTGCGGTGCCAGTCAGGGTCCTGTAGAGTAACAATGTACAGAATCAACTTCTCTATATACATACAGAAAGAGGAATTATGACAATGACTTACAAACTGCAGCCCAGCTAATCCCACAATAGTTAAAGCCAGTACTCACTTAATCCACAAGGCTAGAAGTCTCAGGTGGTCTTCAATATATGCTGGACTTCTGAATAAGTAGGCTCTAATGATTCCTCTGCTGGGCCTTAGTAGTGAGAGATTATTCAGGTTTTTAATGTTGCAGCATATAGTCAACAGTACCCAAGATTGTGCTTTGTCATGTTTCCCATTCTGTAAAGTGATGTGTAAAATGGAGCCTACATCTCTTTTTTTTTCTCCTCAGTTCTTCACATCTTGGAGACATTCACTCAACCTACAGAACACAGAAATAGTTTCTGTGATCCAATCAGCTCAGCAGTTCCCAGCCCATCTCCTGTGAGTCTGGCTCAAATGTTTCTCATCCCTCATTACAACATAAATCAGTCAATTGGCTTTGATACTTTGACTTTTGGCTCCTTAGTTAGACTTTTACAGTGTCTGTACTAAGTGGTTTCCAGGTGGCTTTAAGGTTAGGGTAACTGGTACTCCCTTTCTCAAATCTGTCACTTGAATATTTGCAGGTGATCAATGCAAGTCACCTCCTTTGTAAGCAATTTGCTCCTAATTTTGTATCCTGTGCAGAGAAGAGCATGCCCCAGGAGAGTGGGAGCAGCCTCTTACAGGGGAGCTGCAATCCTCTGGAGTAGGAAGCTTGGGCTTTGATCATAAAGGTTCTCATTCTTTGAGTGAGAAAAGGAATGGTACACTTTGTGGGATGGTTCTCTTTGGGAAGTGAATGACAAAAGGAATTCAGGTTGTAATAACACACTGTGGGACACTCAGGGACTACCATGAGATGAATCCATGCAAGAGAGCTTTATTAGGAGAGGGATTGAACTGGAGACCCAAGTGTCACTGACACAGCAGTAGAGAAATGAGATCTTGAGCTCTGAGTGTGCATGGTGTTTAAAAAGAAAGATTGCAAGCAGGGGGTTTACTTAATGGAAAGGAGGGCGATCTGTTTCCATGACAGAAAGTATGTGGGTTCATGCCTTTATGTTACAGGATTGAGTAAAAGCCATAGGGGAGAGGTGACTTTTTACATAATCACAATTGCCATTATTCTAAACTACGTCTGAAACTTTGGGGACAATACTCCCAACTGATTCTCATTAATTATCGCCAGGGAGATTGTCTCTATTTTTTAAATAAACATTTATTCTGTGATGTTTCCTAGAGGCTGTTGCTAGGAGAGCTAACTTTGTTTTCTGCCAGGTACACATTCTGTGATATTTCCTGATACTTGAGTTCAGTTACCAATCAAGATGGCTCCTCATTTCAAAATGGAATCATTCAGGATAACATTAACTCTTCATCCCCCCCCTTCTTGTAAATAAAGAGGCCAATCTTGGGCTCTTACATTCCATGGACAGATTTTAACTGGCAGTACTGGGTTCTCATTACCATCAACTGTATAATCCCTAGTCTTTGCCTAATATATCCTAACAACTTGGTAAGCAAGCATGATCCAAACCTGACCAAAAGCATTGCAGTATTGCAGTACTAGTTTCTGCTCCAGGTAAGCAGGTCCCCAAGATAATAGCTAATGTCAGGGAGCCCCCTTTGACTTAGCATTTCAGCCTGTAGGTAGGCTTTTATACCTACATAAGTTCTTTTTCTAAACCATATCTGTAACATTGGGAAGAATTTTCCCACCTGATTTCCAACTGATTCCCATTTTGGGCCGATGGTCTCTTCTTCTGCAATTGATTCAATGTTACAATAGGCCTGTTTGCATCAGGGGCTAGGGAGGCTGAAATGTCAGCCAAAGCCTGGGAATGGGGCAGTCCTCAGAAGTCTCTGGTTAGTTGTTGATCTATCTGAGAAGGCAGTGAGCAATCATGTAAGCTTCCAGCAAGTTCAGATCTCAGTTTCCAGTCTCAACCAGGTGAAAATCTGCTGAGACAAATTCAAACTAGACACAAAAATTAATATGTCTAGTAAATGGGAAAAGTTAGAGTTTGCTAAAGGAAATATATAAAAAGACTCAGAAAAATAATATAAAACTGCATCCAATGGAATGAGTGCCAATTCTTAGCTGTTTCTTTAGTAACCTTTATAAATAATTTAAATGTGTCTATGGTCTGAAACTTTAACATTTTCATTGTGGGTACAGCTGTTGGTAATCAGCACCAATGGAGCTTGACCATTTTTTATACACTCAGCATTTACTTTTTGTCCCCATCTCCACATTACACTGAAAAGTTGGGCAGATCTACATTCATGGCTTTAGTATTAAACTGTGAATGCTTAGGCTTTCCTTAATAAAGCAACTAGAAGAAAATAATTTAAAATATTCCGCAATCCTGTATCAAAGTCTACCTCTAAAATCGCAGATATTAAAAATACTATAGTAAAATCTCTGGCTTTTTGGGTGAAATAAACATTTTGGACAGATGATCTGAGAATGATGAAATGCATCTTTAAGTCTATCTTCAGAAGACAACCAAGAGACAATTAAAACCTCAAGATTGTGACTGGAAAATAAGCAGTCAGTGTTCCATCACCATATCCCAATTTTATTAATCAACATTATAAGGCTGAACTTCTGAAATCTTATAAAATATAAGCACATCAATAGCAAAGAAGGGGTGAGAAATCTGAAACATTGCCTTAAAATATTTATGTAGAACCTTTCATTAATTTTTAAACTCTGAAACTTTTCTCCAGGTCCTTAAATTTTATATAAATTTTATATCTTTTTATCCAGCTATTTATCATCAAACATAGACAACTAATATAAAGCCTGTAAGGAAGGCAAAACTGTTTCCCTTTTAAAATAAAAGGCCTTCTACTGTAATGCCAGGTTCATGGGACCCTTAAAGACCACCAGGAGATGACTCAAAGCAATTGCAAGAGATGCTTTATTAAAAGAGCGATTGAACTGAGTACCCAGGTCTCACTGAGACAGTAGTAGAGAAGAGGGACTCTGAGCTCTGAGAGAAAAGTAGTTTAAAAGGGAAAGTCTGTGGTCAGGAGGTTTCCACGGCAGCAAGCAGGGACCACAAGCCTTGGCTTTACAGAATTGGATAAAGTTTAGCAGGGTGGGGTGACCTTTTCTGAGGAACACAATTACAATGGCTAAGGCATATTATCACACTGAATCATTTTCTAAACCATATCTGTAACACTGGGAAGAATTTTCCCACCTGATTTCCAACCGATTCCCATTGATTATTGCCAGGCAGTTTGCCTCTATTTTCTATGAAGCATTTATTCTGTATTATTTCTGTCAGATACAATACATAGAAGGGCTATCAAATCTTACTCATCCTATCATATTGCATTAAGACTGAACAGCAAAAAAGTGTAAAAGATAAAAGTTTTATTTCGCACTAAATGGAAAACTAAACACAGCTGTCAACCTTAGCAGAGGTGGACAGTTCTGGTCAATACAAACCTATTGGCCTGAAAGAAACAGCATTAAATCATCTATATAGGAACTGGCAACCAGGCATATTTTTTTACAATAATTAACAATGACTTGAATATAACCCTATACAACCCTGGGCTAACATAGAGCTGCAAAGAAGAACAAAATAACCCCATTTTTTTGTAGAAACATTAGTCTTTTAAATGAAGAGTAACATATCTTACACTTCTCTGTCAGAACATGCTTGCAGGTGTGAATAAACAAAGCAAATACAGTTAATACCTTCTATAACATTCCACATACCTTCAGGTTAGGCTTTCCCCAGCCCAATTCTTTTTATTTTAAGACATTTTTCTTGATTTTCAGAACAAATAAAAGTTTTCATCAGAACCCTTTTCATTATTTTATCATTCTGATATAATATATAATAAACACTGCAATTTTTTAGTTGACTCAAGTTGTATGGCTTGGTTTCATTTGGTAAAATTAACAAAATAAATACCAAAGTCTTTTGTCCTTCCCCAAAGGATTGAGAAAGTGTTCCAAGTTCTCTATTTGAATGCCCAAGGTCATTGTCCAAAATGCCTGATGAACTTTAAAATGTTTTATTGCCTTAAACATGTTTTAAACCTGATTTTGCAATATTAAAATAAAGTACCCTTTTAAGGAATGAAGTCCCAAAGTATAACCATGATTTTAAAAAGTCAAAACCAAATTTTATCAATGCAGACAATTTAATATTTTTATTTTATTTTATTTTTTCATTATTAGTTGCATTTTATTAACTCTGTATCCCAGCTATATCCTGCTCCTTCGCTCCCTCATTCCCTCCCAAACCCTCCCTCTCTCATCTCCTCCCTGTCCCTTTCCAAGTCCACTGATTGGTTAGGACCTCCTCTCCTTTACTTTTTTTTTGAGTGAAAACTTTTAGTAAGATATCAAAGCCAAAATAAAGATTTTAATTTTATTTCTTTACAAGAACAAGGAAAAAACAAGATAAGGTGAAACACTAAATCTATTCTCAATAAGTTCTAAAAGAGTACAGTACCTAGGAATAAA